AAATGGTATTTCTGACACACTTGGCACTGTGGTTTCACACCACCTTGACTACTACTCCCTTGCTTGTTTTGTGAATTGAAGCTGCTGTTCCAATTCCCTCCAGAGCCATTATTGTTGTTAAAATTTCCACCTTGAGACCAATTTGAGCCCTTTTTGTTTTGTCCTTGCCATTTTTGATTTTGCTTTCCCTGAGAACTTTTGTTAGCTCCAGAAGCTTGATCATTTCCAACTCTGAGACTGCTAAAAGCTTTCTCAGTTCCTGCCAATTTGTCCCTTTCATCATGCAAATCCTCTCTCTTATCATAAACCTTGACAGATGCAAGAATTTCTTCAACTCTAATAGTGTCAAGATCTCTGGTTTCTTCAATGATTGACACTATGGACTTGTACCTCCTACTTAGACTCATCAACAATTTTTGGACAATCCTTTTCTCTGTTACATCTTCTCCTAGAGATTTCAGGTTGTTTACAATTTCAAAAAAACGAGCCAAGTAGTCATCCAGAGATTCAACATCATTCATTCTCAAATATTCAAAGTCAGCTCTAATAGCTTGTAATTTCACAGCTCTTACCTTTTTATCTCCTCTGAACTCTCTTCTTAGAATTTCCCAAGCACCTTTTGCAGTCTTCTCATTTCTGATGCGAGGAAAGAGTTCATCTGTCAGTGCTCCTTGAATAAGACTCAAAGCCTTGGCATTTTTGATCTTATCTTCTCTGGAGATAGTAGGTGCTTCCACTGGAATTTCCTCAGCCTCACTCTCTTCATCTCCAGTGCCTTCAGAACCTGCTTCCTGCTCAATAATCGGCTGTGGTTGTATTCCAATCTCCACTGCATCCCATAGGTCATATGCTATGAGGATAGTCTCCATTTTTACTGACCAAAAATCATAGTTTGAGCCGTTGAACTGTGGAGTTCGTAAATCTCCACCTGCAGAACCTGAACCCACCATTTTGATGTGAGTCTCAGTGAACCACACAATAAAAGAGCAACCTTTATCCCTTATAGAGATTTCAGGAAAACCCCCTTTCTCACAGCTCACGCCCCTTCTCTGAAATCAGACCAGAAGCTCTGATACCATGTTAGAATTTGGTATTTTGTTTGCTGGTTTTAGTACCTGATTCACAGAAACCAATAGAACCAGTATATGCAACGTATGCAGAGGAGAGAAAACTCAGATAGAATGAGAATGCTTTTTGTCTGTATATCTTCTATTGCATCAGAGCCAAAAAAAACACAATGTATATCTTCTATTGCATCAGAGCCAAAAAAACACAATATAAGCATGACACCAAGCTGCCAAAAACAAATCCTAAAAACTAGGATACAAGGACTCATCTCCAGCCATTCAAGGTCATTGGAGGCTACGATTCTTACACCTAGGATAGAAATTGTTACAGCATAAAGGACTAAGACAGCTAAGAATGACAGCTGTAGAGTTTCCCAAAATAGTAGGAAAACTAGCCGTTGGTAATAACCTATAACGGCTACTACTATAAACGGAAAGTTCTTCAGCTCCTTTGATTTCTTCATCCTCTTCACTATCAATCTGCAGGATTAACATCTGCAGCTTGATTCAAAACTAGTATGCAGCTTAACTCTCAACAGTATTGGTGATGGGAGCTTCCAGGTATAATTATTCTAACTTGGTTTTCTTTAATTTTCAATAAAGCCCTTCTGTTTTTCTTCACTTTGTTACTAGACTAGATGCCATTGTACTCGAGCACATTATATATTTTACAGATGACGGCTCAAGATGTGTCGACTATGCTGCGATGTGGACAATGAAATATCATATTTTTACTTAACAATGGCGGATACATGACAGAAGAACAGTTCCATTTTGGGCCTTACAATGTAATCAAGAACTGGAACTACGCTGCCTTGGTTGATGCTATATTCACAATGGGGAAGGCAAGTGCTGGACCACCAAGGTGAGACATGACATGATAACTGCATTTTCTTAATTAAGTACTACTCAACTGGTAAATAGAAACAAGATCCTATAGGTTAAATTTCTTCAATTTATATTCTTTTAATTTTTAGTTCTATTTTGTTTGTAGGTTCATTGTGAGGAGGAGCTTGTTGAAGCAATTAAGACGGTGACTGAGGACAAAGAGGAATGCTTGTGTTTCATAGAGGTTGTTTTACACATGGATGACACAAGCAAGGAGCTAATTCAGTTTGCTTGTAGACTAACTGCCAGAGGCCGCCCACAAAAACCATGATTAAATTAACTTGCAACTATAACTACTTTAAAACTAAGTTTTCTTTTTCCCCCTTTGAAGAATTAAACTAATGAACTCGAGATGTAATCGGTTTGTTAATGATGATGCCCTGTGCTCTGGCAAACATCTTCAAATTTTTTAAGATGGATTTATTTTGCAGCAGCAGGCAACATATTATATATGTTAGAAGATATACATGTGTGTTATAAATCTTAGTTGGCAGGTGTTACCAGGAATATGCAATTAGCTTGCAATTGCAAGCAAGGGGAATTTAAGGGCTCTGACGGGTATGCAGGGTGGCCCTTTCCTATTATCTATGGTCTTTTTCTGCATATAATCCCCCTCTTCTAACTACAGGCTAGTGCATGGAAGTACTGTAGGCAGATAAGTCTAGGCCTGGCCCATGCGAAGGAGAGGAGGATTGTGGTTAAAATACAGGGAAGGAAGCAAACAAAAGGCCATAAAAACACACAAGTTATAGCTCAATTGTGTGCACAAGGTGTAGCAAGTGTTGAAGTTCATAACCTATTACCTAATTATCTGTTGGCTTAAACATTTGTTTTTCAAAATTTTCAATCGATAACTGGTACCGTCTTCTTAAACATGTTCTTCGAAACCATACCATTCCAGAGTAAAGGAATGGGTCAACAATGAAGAGATGCAATGAGATTGTGGAAATCAGAGAAGGGGTATGCCATCAACAAATAAACATAGAAGAAGCAAACATCCTTCTGTAGTTTTAGCACAAAAATCAACTAATCCCACGTCTGAATGTTTTTTCTTTCTTCTTCTTTGATCTTTGGAGGAGGGAAAACCGAACTTGAAACCTCTTCCAACAATTTGAAAGGGAAACACTACCACTAGACCAACAATAGTTGATTTCGCAATGTTTTATAAGTACCAAGAACATTTTCCGTTAAAGGTTAGTGACGTAATGAACCAGCTAAATTTCCCGTGATCTACTACGTTTTGTTGGGTTCGATATGGTTTGGGCCATTTTGGGCGATTTGGTTTTCTTTCCACTTCTAAACTAATCTTATAACCATTTGGTTGGGGAAACAAAATTCAATTTCGGTTTTCCTATCTTATTAAAAGCCCTGTATAATCATGCCCCAGGATTTATAAGCTAACAAATAGCGACAACCACCACAGCAAATTTGAAGGGCACTAAATTATGCTTAGAGCCAAAGTCTCTTCACACCTAATTACCCGCCAAATCACTTTTGAAAAAAGCCACACACAACTCAATCCCCACCACAACCCAAATCAATCCCCTTCTCTCTCCCGAAAGCTCTTATACCTCCTGAAACAATGTGTATCCACCAAAGAAGTGAAACAAATTCACACCCAAATGCTCATAAACTCCATACATAAACCCAACTTCCTCCTCCCCAAAATCATTGACCACAAAGACTTCTCCTATGCCTCCATGCTCTTCTCCCACATCCCAGAACCCAACGACTACGCTTTCAACGTCATGATCCGTGGCCTTACCACCACATGGCATAAATACCAACTTACTCTTGAATTCTATTACCAAATGAAGTCTTTGTGTCTGATGCCCAATAATTTTACGTACCCTTTTGTGTTCATTGCTTGCGCGAATTTGGTTGAGTTGAATCATGGGCGTGCAGCCCATTCGTCGGTGTTTAAGACTGGATTGGATAAGGATGGACATGTGACTCACTCTTTGATTACCATGTATGCTAGGTGTGGTAAATTGGGTTTTGCACGGAAGGTGTTTGATGAAATTTGTCAAAGGGACTTGGTTTCGTGGAATTCGATGATTTCCGGGTATTCCAAAATGGGGTATGCGGGTGATGCTGTGCGGTTGTTTCAGGAAATGAGGGATGAGGGGTTTGAGCCTGATGAAATGAGCTTGGTGAGCATTCTTGGAGCGTGTGGGGACCTGGGTGATTTGAGTTTGGGGAGGTGGGTGGAGAGTTTTGTTGTTGAGAATAAGTTGGAGCTGAATTCATATGTTGGGTCTGCGTTAATTGGTATGTATGGAAAGTGTGGTGATTTGTCCTCGGCGAGGAGGGTCTTTGATAGTATGAAGAAAAAGGATCGAGTCACCTGGAATGCCATGATAACAGGGCAAGTAACTCTCCCTCGTGTACAATCTTGTTTATATTTCTTGTTTACATTCCCTTGCTGCAGGCCTGCAAATTCAATTTGTTTATATGATGGGGTCAGAGCGCACAGGGGAGAATCATGCTATCTGTGTTAAATAATTTGAATGTTAAGTTTTGATGGTTAAAAATTAAAAAGGGAATATAACATTTTACAGATTGAACAAGGCTGAGGTTTGGAAGTCAACTGGGTTGTAATAATGTTCAGGGTAGAAAGAGATTAGGGTTATGTAAAGTTGAGAATTTGACTCTAAATATTAGAAAGGAATGTGGTATCTGAAAACGAAATGTAGCAGCATTGGGATTTTATGCAAGGAAGAAATAGAAAATAGAACCTTTCAGCGCCTCACACCTAGATACCTTACACCTAGTGCTAGGTTATATCTGGCACTTACTAGATCATGAACCATGAGTATTGCCCTCGTATTTTGATATTTGGAAAATGTCTTTAGATTATCATATCATGGAAATTCAAGGAATAAAGACAGACGGATATTTTTGTTAAATAAAACTAGTACTTACATTTGGTTGTATCATTAGTTTGGAACAAATTGTGGTAGATTGATTTGGGAATACTTGCTTCTACTTCTTTTTCATGGAAAAATGAACTATATAAGGGTTTTGAGGTTCCTTCTGGTTGAAATTTTTCTTCCACGGGAATGCAGCTTTTGAGAAGGTGGCTGGCTCATTTTGAAAACTGTTATCACTTACCAGCATTTTGGTTTAATGATAAACACAATAGTAACGACAATTATATTCATGATGGTGTTCAATTTGGTACTGCATATGCCCACCTTTCGCAGTACTTTAATAATTCCATTTACCAAAATATTTCTGCAGGTACTTTTATTGCTTACAAAAGTTTCTTATTCATCTTTTAAACAGTTGACTCTCGAGCCTGGTCAATACTCCCCTTACAGCAACTGGTTAAAGTTAAGCTGTGGTCATTAGATTCTATGGAATATCCAGTTAATTAACCAACCATTGTATTAATATTTGTATGAATCATCTTCTAGTACATATATGGAAAGTATAAATCCAGTGTCCTTGTATCGTTATTAACTATATGTATTAATTGAGTTTGATAGTATGTTTATCATCATTTTATATACATGACAGGTATGCTCAAAATGGAATGTCCGATGAAGCAATGGTGCTTTTTGATGACATGAAAGAGAGAGGTGTTAATCCTGACAAAATTACTTTGGTTGGAATGTTGTCTGCATGTGCCTCGATTGGTGCCCTAGATTTGGGGAGATGGATTGACATATATGCATCCGAAAGGGGCATACAACAGGACATTTATGTCGGCACTGCATTAATTGACATGTATGCTAAGTGTGGGAGTTTAGCCAATGCACTAAGAGTTTTTGAAGATATGCCCCAGAAAAATGAGGTCTCGTGGAATACCATGATATCTGCCCTTGCTTTCCATGGGAGAGCACATGAAGCAATATCCCTATTCAAGAGCATGACAGAAGGTGCTGGGGCTACTCGGCCAAATGACATCACATTTGTGGGAGTGCTTTCTGCATGTGTACATGTTGGATTAGTGGATGAGGGCCGTCAATTGTTTAATTTGATGCGCTCGTCATTTGGGCTAGTCCCGAAAGTAGAGCATTACTCTTGCCTGGTTGACCTTTTGTCACGTGCAGGACTTGTACATGAAGCTTGGGACTTCATTAAGAAAATGCCTGAAAAACCAGATGAAGTTGTACTGGGGGCATTGCTTGGCGCCTGTAAGAAATGTAAAAATGTAGATGTCACTAAGCAGGTAGTGCAGCTGCTTCTCGAATTAGAGCCTTCAAACTCAGGAAACTATGTTATCTCATCAAAGATATATGCGAATTTAAAAATGTGGGATGAGTCAGCAAAGATGAGACTGTTGATGAAACAGAGGGGTGTCAGCAAGACTCCTGGTTGTAGCTGGATTGGGAATGAGCATCAACTTCATGAGTTTCACTCGGGTGATGGTTCAATAGAAATTCTTCATTTACTTAAGTTATTATATGAGGATCTGAAGAATGAAGGTTACATTCCAAACATTAATTATGTCTAGAGAAACAAGGTTCAACCACTTTCTATGCATTTGGATCTTATCAACCAAACGACAAGGTTATAATATGAGTTGCCTGCCAGGTTGGTGAATTCAAGCAATGTTTATCTGTCTTCTGGAAATTTTAGCGACCTTTTTAGGGTGTAAAATTTTTCTGATGTCTGGTCTGAGATTTTTTTTTATTCAAGAATAATTCACTGATTTGTTGTACTGTTTTAACAGGAAGAATTAGGTTTAGCATTACATATGAGGGTTATTAAAACCCTTTTTCTATCACACAGTTGCTCATTGTGTTTTGGTTGTTAACTTTCAACTTAGACATACGGAGAAATGGATATGCTTACTGCAGCTATGGAAGATGGACTGAGACAGGCAATGAGGCATTGCATTTAAAGCTCTAAAGGTGAGAATTGATGCAGTCATTTTCTTGGAGATGTTTATTTCATGTTCCTTTACCTCTTAGTTATGGAACCTTTGTTTAATACTTGCAGGTTATGTTTCCAGAATCGTTATTCTTCCCTCACAGATACTGTAGTTTAATAGGCCATGACCTGCCCTGCAGCATTTGTACAGAGCTCTCCAAACAGATGTAATGCATGATTAAATTTCGTATTCTCATTAAATAGAAGAGGCACAAGGGAATCTTCCGAGTTTTGAGGAAGCTAGCGTGGATTGACACGATCAAAACCCTAAGCTTCGTCCTTTGAATCATAGTCGTGGAGGCAGATGTCGACTGCTTGATCTTAGAACCGAACTACATTCGCACTTGGGTTCTCTTTTTGCGTTTACTTACCTATTCTTTCTATATTTTCAACCCTTGATTTACACTACATTGATTCATATTATCAACCCTTGATTAGTTTCTCAAGTCTATTTCTGCATACGTAATCTCACAAATCAGAAACTTCAAATCTTGAATCCCTAAATCTCAATTCTTGACTCTCAAATGGGTATGAGTAGGCCTGGACACGGATTGGTTTGGAACGGTAGAAGGCTCTTCCGTTAACCAAATCAAAGACTTCGATAGACCATTTTCTCTTCCGTTAACCAAATCAAAGACTTCGTTAGACTTCGGATCGGTTAACCTAATATTCGGTTCAGATTGGTTCGGTACGCCGATAGTACCGTAATAAAAACATACTAATAAAAATACAATTTATAATACTTTCACATAACATAAGTTCTTGAACAAATACACCAAATTATCCTTGTAAAATATAAAAATCCAATAGTCTAATTCATCCAAGTATGAAATCAAATAACTTAGTCACTATATCATTCAATATATACTCAAGATGTACTGGGAGCCACTTGTGTTTGTTGTTTGAACATTTGAGTGTTATTTTTACTGAATTCTCTACATTTATGTAAATGATTGACCATTTTTTTGCATTGGGTTCTTTAGTTTTTCATGCTGAATCCAACAATATAAAGAACATAAAATTTGAATCAATGATTGGAAAGTTATAGGTAAAAAACGGAACAAAGGTCGAAACTAAAAAACATATAAAATTCATTAATTCCTCTCTGACCAAAAAGTGCTACAGTACCAGGGTGATAAAGAAGTGATAGAATGATGATAAAGCAGTGATACAATGGTGATAAAGAAGTGATACATCAGTGTTAAAAGAGTGATACAAAATACTAATTGTATTTATCTTTGGTTTCTTGTTTTGTATTTAAATAATAGAATAAGTATAAATATCGGATCGGTACGTGTTTCCATCGAGTTAGGAATATTGTTTTTATTAACCAAATCAAACATCTCGGTACGGATCGGATCGGAATAATTAAAATTATAAAACAATTATTTAACCAAACCAAACTAAACTAAACTGTTGATACGGTACGGTCGGTACACGGATAATTATGATGAGATGCCCACCCCTAGGTGTGAGGACCAACATTGTGCTCGCAGGCTGAAAGTCTAGATATCACTACACACCCCCTAACATAATATCTGTTCAAACAAAAAGTAACTCATGTCCCCTTACATCTTTATATGCTCTTATGCAGTGTTGAGCTCTTATTACTTCTAGGTAACGTTTTGTAAATCTCAACTTAATAACGAAGTTTTCAAGTTTGAAATTACAAAGATAAAACATGAGATGATAATAGATGGTCTTCAAGGCCGTTATACAAGACACTTCCGATATTTTCGCCTGAATTCAAGGGTATTTTCGTACAAGGACGTTACCAATGGCATCCCCGAGGCTTTGGTGGGACCAGCTCCCCCTTCTTTTTCTTTACAATGGACTTCTTTTGCTTTTCAAAATTCTTTATCCTATCCGCCAAAAAAATAAAAGTATTCTTGACACCACCGTTTATGAGAAACGCAGCAGAAAGCGCCAGGTGTTTAAAACCAGAGGACCACCATATCTTTTGCTGAAGCTCCCAGTCTTGAATTTACTTTCAAGTTTCATCTGGTCCGTGAAACTGATCTGACGGTGAACAACCCACTTGAGTTTCAACATGGGTTTCAGCCTTCAGCTTATGTGCAAGAGACAACTAGATGACGTGCTCTATAACTCTTTTTTTTATGAGAAAAAGGTATTAGAATCAGAGTATTTTTAATTTTATTGTGAGCAATGCTAATTAAGCTCAAAAGATCTGATGTTCATACCGCATTGGCTCTACTAAGTGGAGAAACACTTATTTGAAATGGAAATAATACTATTTTGCTATTTCCAATCAATTACGATATATCACACATGATAACTTTTCTACATGATAACATGTAATTAGTTGAGAATAACAAATAGTGTTATTCCCGTTTTATACAAGTTTTTCTGCTACTAGTGGGTGTGGCCAGTGTGAATGAATTTCATCCCTAAATCGTAACCAAACCAATTAATCATTGAGCGGTACGTTTGATTTAAAATGAGTGGATAAATCAAACCAACCCACTATTGAACGGTTTGTCAATTTATGCCTAAGCTGAACACTATTTTATTATTTTTTACCCCAAAAAAACAGTATTTTATTATTATTATTGTAGTGATTTGGTGCAATTAAAGTACAAAGTTATATTTTATTTTCTTACTTCTTATAACCCTATGAAGTAAAAATCATCACCTTAACATTCTCAACAATTGCAAGCACACATAAAGCCACCACCATTATAATTTCCGAATCTCTAGCATCCTATCAACATTCAACATTCCATCAAAGTAATAAATTAGCAGCACAATTATATATTAAAGGTGAATGTGTGGAATGAAACACAATAGTAAATAAAAGTTAAAACCAACAAGAAAATGCCTAAGAACAAAAAATAATATTAACATAGATGGTTTGGTTTGTTTAGATTGTTTACATATAAGCCAAATCAAACTAAACCAAATCAAACTAAACCAAGATTCAATTAAATTCAGGATTATACTTTTTCAATGGTGGAACTGAATGAAATTGAGTAGATTAGTTTAATTTCCTTCATTTGAACAGTTCGACCGGCTTGATGCCCGCACCTAGTTCACTCATTCAAAAATGTTTGCATATGTGAATATGCCATATTGAGTTTAATTAATAATTAGTAATTGTAATTTAACTGTAACTTTTTTTTTTTTTAATACCAGATAATTGTAACTTTCTTTACTTTCCTGCTTAATATCTTAACTCTTAAGTACGAATATAATCACCCACAAAACAAAACTTTAACACACCACTTATCAGCACTCACACTCGGATCAGAAGTACAATAAAATTGAAGTGGCATTTACAGAAATATATACAACATGGAGGGCAAAGTTATCGAGCTGTCATATTCTCTACCTATCGGCCCGCTGTTTCCCCCTTTATCTTTTTTGAGTCCTCCAACCTCGAACTTTAAGTTTTGTTTTTTTATGTTTTTCTTCTCATTTGGCTTTTGACCGTTACTTTTTTCGCAACGTCTCTCTGCTTCTCTCTCTGTTTCTCCGTCTCTCTCTCTCTCTCTCTCTCAGTGATCAAAGCTCCTTCTCTTATTCCCGCCCGCAATTACCAAGGTATACTTCTCCACTGCAATCCAGTTTGTTCATTTGTATTATTTTCTTTCTATTTGTTGTAAATTATTCGTTAGAACAATCAGCCAAAGCTCATTTTCTTTTTTTTTTAATAGTTTCTTGGGAAGCTGTTGTGCTTTCTTATCAGCGTTTTCAGCACTAGATTTAATTTAATTTTTCAAACTACGAAATGGGTTTTCCTTTTTGAATTTCAATGTTCATGTAGGCTTGATTGGCCTTCATCCTGTTCAAATAAAACATTTGAACTTTTCTGTTTCCCAAGTTTTGCAATGGGTTCTCTGGCTTTTTGTTCATATGAGCTTTAAGTGAGCATTGAGTCACTTTAATACAAGCTGAAAAAATTAAATGGCTTCTCGTGTTTGTTGTTAGTATTAATTTGGATCTCTTCAGAAAGCATTAATGATATAAATTTCTTTGATTTCCAAGATAGAGCTTCCTTTTTTCTTCTCCATTCATGAGTTTTAGTTATTTCCTTTTTATTTTTGAAATCTCTGTTTGTCATATCTGCATAACAACATATTGAAATTAGTTTTCTTTTCAAAAAAGAAAGAGGAAGAAAGGGTTTCTTTTTATTTTCTCGCAAAAGTCTAAAACTTTGTTTTCCAGCTTCATATGAACAACTGAAATAAGATTTCAGAGAAGATTTTATTCAAACGTTTTGCTGTGCCCTCTCTCTCTCTCTCTCCCCCTCTCCCCTTTATCTCCTTTTGCTGTGCCCTTCTCTTATTTTCTCTGAGTTTTTTCCCTTTTCATTTTCCTCTATTTCTTGGTTTGAATTAATGTGACTGTCATCTCATCATAAAATTGTAAATTTTGGAAACCTTAACCTTTATGTGTTGTCCCAGATAATTTTTTTCCTTCTTAAATTAGCAAAAAAAAAAAAAAAAAACTGAAATACTATCCCATTATACACTAATAATGAAAGATATACCTTTCTGTTCAGGATATGGTAGGAGGTTCTTTTGCAAGTTGTTTCCTAGCCTAGTTCTATGCTTTCTTCCCCAGCTTGACAAAAACTTAGTAGCTTAATAGGCCTTTGTAGCAACCAGGATTTTATATAGTCGTGTGGGGTTTTGACAGAATCTCATCTTCCTGATTGTGCAAGTTTGAGATGTTCTGAAACCTTCCTTGTGACTTGAATATAAAGAAAAGAAAAGTACTCAGACCTTTTCCAAGTGTTTTTAGTTCTATAGAATAATTTAAATAAGTGACAATGTAGTTATTTAAAATGCAGATTATTTCCAGTTGGTTTTTCGTGCTTTGCACATGTGATTGTTCTTCATGTTGGAGTGAGGTCACTGAAGTCCTCTACTGATCAGCCTCAGAAAACCTTATGAATCTGGCGAGAAATACACAAGACTACCCTTGTGATTTTGGTTTTGATTCAAGCCTGAAAAATTCATAGGGTGAAAGGAGAAGGTAAGAGGAAACTAGAGATGGGATGCTCTACATCAAAGCTAGATGATGTGGAAGCAATTCAACTTTGTAAAGATCGAAAGAGATTTATTAAACAGGCTCTTGAGCAAAGAACACGATTTGCCTCTGGACACATTGCCTATATCCAGTCCCTAAAAAGAGTTTCAGCTGCTCTTCGTGATTATGTCGAAGGAGATGAGCCTCGTGAGTTCTTGTTAGAGTCATTCATAACCCCACCTTTCACACCCATTAAGAAAACAAGTCCTGGTTTTATCTCAATTTCACCAAAATCCTTCACACCTACACAAATCCAATCTGAACCCCATTCATCTGTGAAAATATGTTATCTAAGATCAGGAGGGAACCCAGCAGTTTCAGTTGAAGAGAGGCCTCAATCACCAGAAACAGCCAGAGTTGAAACTTACTCTCCAATCCACCATTTTGGGATGGATGGGTTCTTTGGAATGCAATCTTCACCAATGAATTCTTCGTTCTTCTCTTATTCCCCTAACAATAGACCCAACATCCCTCCGCCTTCACCTCAAAATTCTCAATGGGATTTCTTTTGGAACCCATTTTCATCATTAGATTACTATGGTTATCCCACTCGAAGTAGTCTTGATCAGACAGTTATGGATGATGAGATTAGAGGTCTAAGGCAGGTCAGAGAAGAAGAAGGGATCCCTGACTTGGAAGAAGTTGAGACTGAACAGGAGGAATGTGCTAACGAGGCAAATGTAGCACAAGAAAAGGATAAAGTTGATCTAAACTGCAACAGAGAAGAAGTTATTATTGAAGATGTTAATGAGGAAGAGGAGGAAGAGGAGGAGGAAATGGATAGCGGAACTGAAATTGAGCATGATGCAAAAATGCCATCGCATAGTAGTGTGAGTATAGAGGTGTCAAGATCTCAGAATACAAGACAAGTTGAAACTAGTAACCAAGCAACCGCTGTTGGTCACAGGGAAGCTAAGGAGGAAACGCCAGGCTTTACTGTTTATGTAGACCGAAGGCCAACAAGTATGGCAGAAGTTATCAAGGTTTTAGAAACTCAGTTCATGATTGTTTGCAATGCAGCCAATGAGGTCTCAGCATTGTTAGGGGCCGGTAGAGCAGAGTACTCGTCAACCTCCAACGAACTCACAGGTTTGCTTACTTGACTTTTTACTTCACCCATACTGTTATTTGTTCTTGTTATGCCCTTGGCATTTGTGCATAGTTTCCATCAGATGGCTGTTTAGGCGTTGGTCATGATATGGCTGTGGAAGGCATGCTTCCAAATGCCTCCAGGCACAAGGATAAGTATCCTCTCTACCAAATTGAACAAGTTGGTCTTCCAAATGAACAACCTGATGGAATCTCCAAATTGAGAGGATCCTAATCCTCTCTTTGCCACTGACTGAAGTAGGGAAACCATAAATCATATGCATGTTCACAAAGTATAAGAAACTGTTGAGATTCACAAAACTCATAGGTTAACTAACAAAATGTATTGTTGTATGATATGAGGGGACTTGTAGGAAACATGACAGCCAATTTATACACTAGATAATAACCTACTTTTTTCAATGATTTATTTAATTTTCAAGAAGCAAAAGTGAAAGACATTTCGGAATCTTGCAATCACAAAATCGTCCAAGACTTGTCCAATTAATTTTTCAATACATAAATGAGGGAAGCCTACTTTCACAAGGAGTATATATTGTGATTTTACAAACACAGGGATAACAGATTATATACAGATAATAAATAAAATATGCAGACAACAGATTAGATCTTGTCCTATCTGCTACCTTGTATGTCAATATGCAGTCCAGGGAGGTCAATGTTTCATCAAATCAACTCTTCATTTTCGTTTTCTTATTTTCTTTGAACTTTCAGGTTATTATATAGTAAGTACTTTGTTGTTGCAGCCATGAAAATGTTGAACCCAGTAGCTTTATTTCGCACAGCTTCTTCTCGCTCAGCCTCTTCCAGATATTTACTGAATTCTTCGTGCTCTAAAGATGAAGGCTATGAAAGCAGTAGTGACATCTCAGAGGAGCCCTGCATGTTTTCAGGTAGTCACCAATCAACATTGGATAGATTATATGCTTGGGAGAAGAAACTCTATGAGGAAGTCAAGGTATAATTCTAAACTCTACCACATACTTTTTACATATTGCAAATAGCACCTGCTTGTGTTACAAAAAATACTTGAATCGTCAAATGGAATTCTCTATGTTTTGTATGCATATGTTACAGTTCATGATATAAATATGTGTTGCCTTATGCTTAAACAAAAAGGAAAATATGAAAAATTGATCTGTGCATCACTACTTACAGTCTGGAGAAAAGGCTCGGATTGCATACGAAAAGAAATTGACGCATCTCCGGAACCAAGATGTAAAAGGAGATGACTATTCTGCATTAGAAAAAACAAGGGCAGCCATTAGAGATCTGCATACTCAGATGAAGGTTTCAATACATTCGGTTGAAGCTATTTCAAACAGGATTGAGACCTTAAGGGATGAAGAATTGCAGCCTCAACTTTCAGAACTGGTACAAGGGTATGGACCTTAGCTCTTTATCAACCGTAGCTAAAATATGTGCTCATCTTTTTTCCATGCATAGAATTAGCTTTGAAGCTGACTGCATGGCAGCATATGAGCTCACACCATGCTTTAAGTATTTATCCCTATATATTAATTAATTAATTAATTAATAATTAACTCCAGGTTAGCAAGGATGTGGAAAGTAATGGCAGAGTGTCATCGGTCACAGAAACGAAGCCTAGATGAAGCCAAGGTTTTACTAGCAGGCACGCCTTCAAAACTGGAAGCTAAAAGACATTCTTCCATTTCAATTACTGATCCAAACCGGCTAGCACGTTCAGCTGCCAATCTTGAGACAGAGCTGAGGAATTGGAGAGCTTATTTTGAGTCATGGATCGCTTCTCAACGATCCTATGTGCATGCCTTAACGGGGTGGCTGCTCCGTTGCATGAGGGCTGATCCTGATACATTGAAGTTGCCACTCTCTCCCCGTCGCTCAAATGGTGCTCTTCCAATATTTGGAATTTGCATCCAATGGTCAAGGTTTCTGGATGCCATACATGAGACACCGGTGCTGGATGGACTAGATTTTTTTGCAGCCGGTATGGGGTCCCTCTATGCACAACAGCTTAGAGAGGATTCACGTCATGTTAGGGTAGGTTCAAAGAGATTTGGAGCTGGAACACCAGATGAATTTAGTGGGGATATGAAAATTGTGGAGGTCGGTCAAGTTGAACAAGTAATGACTGCAGACAAAATGGCTGAGGTTGCTATAAGGGTACTTTGTGCTGGAATGTCAGTTACTACGAGCTCACTGACAGAGTTTTCTATTGCTTCTGCTGATGGATATGCCGAACTTGTGAATCAATGGGACAACGCCAAGGCTTAGAGCTGCAATGTAGTTTTCTGATGTTTATGGGGTAGTTTAGTGATTAATGGATGTCAATGTAATTATAAATTAATCTATTTTGAATATTAGCATAGAGTTTTTGCCACCTTATCCCTTTTAGCTAGTGTCTGAATCCTGATATAGTTGCGACTTCGCTAGAAGAGTAGAAAAAGAACATTAGTTATAACATTTCGTCACAGGAAAGATAATCTGTACGTGCCAGGGTTCAGATCTCTATTCATTGCTTTGGTAATAAAAGTTAGTCAATAACATGCTTGGTTTAAAACCTCAGCAAAGTACTCAAAACATAAAGGATCAAACACCACCACCACCACTGAACTACAAATCCGCTAGTGCAATCCTTTCTTTCATTTTCTAGGAACCTCCACGTGCGAGGAGTTGCAAGACCCTAGTTCATTTGGACACAAAATGAGGTTCCTAGTCAAATCAGCCACCGGCACCAGATGTTCAAAACCCTAATGCAGGTGCTCAAACACGACTGGCTAGACGTCAGGCAGATTAATATGACACAATGCTCTTCCAACCTAGCACAATGTCTTCTGTCAAAATACACCCGCCTGATGGGATGGGTTCTAGTCTTACCATTGTGCTTCCTTTTCAAGAAATCCCCATATCAACCAAGAACTTCTATTGAATAACAGCATTACAACCATAATCAATAATCAAGTTCCAAGATTTGTGTATCAGGGCCATATTCCATGAAATCATTCAGAAAAATGAAGCCCCAAGAGGGCCAAGACCTATAAGTATGAAGTTGCATCTTGGTCCAACCCTTGAACAATTCAAATTGAACAAAATTTACACACTGTCAACATTGTTTCAAAAGTCAAACGTTGGAATCTTACAGGTTAGGAGAATATCTTTCAAGCCCCAAAGTCTACGTTTCTAACTCGATCTTTCCAATAAATCATATCATGTAATTATAAAGGTGCTTATTTTCCAAAATTTTCCATCCATATCATACTACAAAAATGAAAGAACGGGATTACTGAAAAAATCTTCCTCATCAGGCTGCTAACCCTGGCTGGTTTTTGTGCAAAAAAATGCTGTTGTTGAGAATATAACTCAGAAAGATAAACCTTTTTTTTTCCTAATCATTTACTCATATCCTTCATCATCATCAAGCTCAATTTCAGCATCATCCGCTCGGGCCATGAGAGTGACGAAAAGTACAACTGAAACCAGCTGTGCTACCAAAAAATATTTGGACCTTCTCTTAAAACTTTTCTCCTCCTTTGTTTTTTCCCTTTTGGGTTTGCTCTTGGGCTTAGAACCTGAAAAATAAAATAAGCATAAGAGAATTGCATTCAGGATAATTAAGTTTCTACTGATAAAAGAATATCACATATAGGACTAAAATAATTAAACAAAATTCAATCACATAAACTTCATATACACAAGAGGTCAAATTATATATTAGCTCCTGAAGAACTACAATTTACCTTTCGTGACCTATCTATATTTTAGATGATATATATCACCCATGTACCGGTTCGTAAGCTCTAACATTAGTGATGCAAGAAAGAGGAATCTGGTCTCACATGATCGCAGATTGCAAACTGCAGCTTCCAGTTAAAGAGAGACCTAATTGGAATCTCATTCGTGTTTTATACACTCAAAACTAAAATACTACTTTTCTGAAAGCAAAAACAGGGTGTTGAAAACTGCCAGTGTGCAAGCCAAGTCTAATCCCAAATTTTCCAGGGTACGAAATGATTCCACTCAAGAAACAAAAATAGAGGGAATTGATCTGGTTTGGTAAAAGCAAAAAATCCAATACATTATACCGTCCAAAGGAATAAATACAGATATACGAGTCTTGAATATGAAAGTATCTCACTCCAATTTGAAGGACCTCTTCTAGGAGCTGCTGATGAAGGGTAGTTTGGGACTGAAGATGAAGAACCTGCATCCACGAACTCTGTCTTAAGCCTATCAACATACCTAACAAGGTTTTCATGTTCTAAAAGCTTGCTCCGCAGCACTGATGTTTCCTAACAGCACAAAATTTCAAGATGCAGGGTTAACAAAACTCCTTAAACTAAAAAGATTCGACAAAATCTGGTATACAACTTGGTGTAGCACATAGGCCAAGTTCATTCAGTAAAAACTAATATATTGAAGAATAATATTAAAAACAAGTTTGGATTCATCTCTGCAATATTGCAAGATCAAATTTCATATAACTCATGATTATCAAAATAAGCAATCATGCATGATGACAAAACAAAATCAGGAACCAACTCCAACTAAAATCATGTACATAATCTCACATCTAAAAGGTGATCCAATGTCACATAGAAAACAGGCTAATGCATGAATAAAGTGAGAAAGCATTAAAGCAGGGAAATAAAAGAAAACAAAATATTAACACCAGTGTTCCCTCATAGCATTTCCGTGTGTTATAATTAACATAGCACAGTAGCAATTGATGTAATTTTAAACTTGATATTTTGTACACAACAATATGTTGCAAATAGTAGGAATGCTATAATTACTTACTAAAAGTGCCAACACATTGTTTTAGTGTTAAGGACAACATAATAAAAGGGCGTGATACTTGAAAAACTAGGTGCTTAGAGTAATTATACAATGTCCAGATCCAAAAAAATAATAAGTAACTATATAACGATATCAGTAAATCTGAAAGGAGAAGGGAGGATGGAAAGCATAATTCCAGTTGAGAGATGAACAATGAAGCTATAAATCAAGCACCGGGAAGCTAAATTGAAAAGCTGCAAACTTGATTCCTACGCTTTGCTAACTAAAAAGTTCAATCATGGGGCCAAAATATGCGCACAGAACACTAACATCTGAGTGTGAGTTCAGAACCAGTATCATCTTTCTTTAGTTTAAATTTGCTATTTAGTTCAAGCGGTTGGATTTTGTCAACAAGAACTGTGTCATTTATACACTGCAGCACATTTTTCTAAGCTCAAAATATTCAGTCAGAGTTCCAGACCAGATACAAAAGGGTATATGTATAAAGCCAATTTTCCCGTTTTGCTTGTTGACAGTTCAACTTGAACCCAAGCCTTTTAGACAAAAATCTTAATCTCACTGGCCCAAGAAAAATAAACCGATATTTTGAGGTTGAAGCATAAAAGATACCGGTAAACAAAGTTTCACAAAATGCAAAGCAGAAGAATTCTGTTTCCCAGCGTAATACATATTTTATTAACAGTCCCAACAAAAAAAGTAGCTTATAAAATAAATACATGTACAGTGTGTTTATTCTTTGTATTGTAAGTCACAATCCAGAAACCATTACCAAAAAGAGATAATAGAAGTCCTGTTTCCAATCTATCAACATCCTCTGATTGTTGTTTGAAAAAAATTGAAAACAAGACTAATGAGTTAGAAGCATTAGAATTTACACAACGTTTCTTTTCAAAAGAGTTTAAAAAATAATTACTAAGCTCAAATAGAAAACGGTGCAAATCATAATTTTCAAGGTCATGAAATGATGCAGAATTAAACATGGCGTGCATCTTATTTTACTTTTATTTCCCATTCAAGCAATTAATACTCTATGAGTTTATATGGATTACTCATCCACACGGAAAGCTCAAAATTCTATCCGGAAACTGAACTTCTTGCAAGATTCAAACTATTTTATTGATATAGTTTAATGTAAATGGTTCTTAACTGCTAATATAAACTTCTCCTCTCTTTGTCTGCAAATAAATAAAATGACTTACTGGTAATGCTTGAAGAGTGATAAGTGCCTGCCCAAGAAAGAGTGCATCCAAACTTGATGGCCTGCATAAAAGGAACGATGCAGGTGGATACACAATCAGCAGGTGAGTATTAATTGTTACGTTGCATGTAAAAGGATATTAAAACAAAAGAAAGAAAGTTGAGCAATAACAAGAAGTTCTAAGGACTTCATTATAAAAGGAAATGGAGTATTGATGCGATAGAAAAGCACCTGTTTTCAAATAAAAAGTTATGTTCCTCCAACCTGCTTGACAGGGCTCCAAATGCAAGGCTGGCTCTCTTGTATGTCTGTCCATCAATTTTTCAGATCAATAAAAATATTGTTTCAATAATATACATAACAGTGAACAAAAAAAAAACATATAAAATAACTGCTAGGAGAGAGAGAGAGAATTTATTACTTAACACAAAGTAGTAGGATAAGGAAAAAGAAAAAAAAAAAACCTGTTCTTCTATTTTCTCAGAATTGTCTTTGGTAATCCCAAGTTCCTGCTTTACTTTGTGCAGTTGCTTTAAGAATAGAATCTTTCCAATTGGCCATGGGAGATCAGAATAATATATCGTTTCGGCAGAACTACCATCTGTTCCCAACCAGAGTTCATACTTGATTGCATCAGCAAGCCAGGAGCTAATCATTGCCTTTGTAGATATCCATTCCGGAACTGAGCGAAGTTCAGTGTCCAAATCAGCAATGCAATCTTCTTTCAGTCTTTCGATAATGCCACCCTTCTCATTATTATAAGTCACGTACTCACCAGATTCAATATAAGGGATTTTATCTAAAACAAAAGCCACAGTCAATATCATCATTTTCGTCTACTTGTAAGATGTGTGCACACACTCACACTGTACTCAAATGTAAATGAAAAATTAAATTTGAAGCTTTTATTGCTACAACAACAGAGCTTAATCCTATAAATAAACTCATTATTATACAAATTCAAATATAATAAGCAGGTGCAAAAAGCATACTGCCTATGCTGATCAAGGCTCCTGCACAGACGTGGAAACAACAACTCTAGGAACCCTTGTCCAATAAAATTAGATCTGCCTAAATATACAAAGAAACCCATTTAAACTGATACCAAACCCACAAAATCCTTTTTTTTTTAAAGCAACACACATCCCAACCGTACTGCTAATGCATAACAGACACCATCCACAAAACCAAGATATAAGCTCAATTCACAATAATTTATAAGAAATTTGAATGAAAAACTTCAAATTAGTAGCAGATGGGAATTAGGAACTTCACATCCAAGAAACAACAAAAAACCCATATATTATGGAATTATCAACCCAATGCATAAAATCAGTCCCCAAAAAACCTCAATGCATAAAACAAACAAGAACCAAATGTCCAATAAGACCTCCTGGAAAAATCTGACTACCAAAATGCCAAACCCTACTAAAACCCAACCATAAAATTCTCAGAAAACGAGAGATAAACAAGAAGATGCAGAGAAAGCGTTGATACCAGAGTCAGGGTAGGTAAGATTGTAATCCAAGTGAAAGGGAACATTAGCAAACTTGAGGTAGAAGAAGACCGGCAAGCACGAAGGGCAAGTAGTAGGCAAGCCAAAACAGGGCTTCCTCACCACGAGAGTGTACTCTTCCATAAAACCTACGAAACCCACTTGGGGCGTTGCCTTTCTGAGCTCAAGTCCACAAGCAAAGTAGGGTTTTTTCTCGATGGGGGGTCTTGCACAAAAAGACAGGGACGCGTAACGCAGACGCAGGGGGGTTTTCCTGGAGGTTTTGGAAATTGGGTCTTGTTAGCCTTTGTTTCACAAATGGGTCATGGAGTCTAAAACGGGTCGATCCCAAATTAAAATGGGTCAAGGCCCAATGGCATGAATTATTATTATTTTTGTTAAATATATTTTGTTTGGCAGAAATAAATGGTGAGCTTGACGACAAAGGACTAATGAGATGAATGTAGGCACGTTTATCGCTCATATACAAAGTTTGTCAAACTCATGCAGTATACAATTACTCTTTGTATTTTAAATATAATTAAGATAATATATATATATATTTCTTGATTAGATAACTTAATACGTTTCGAATTAACACACGAATATATTCATATAAGAAGTAGCGTCCACGAAACAATTCTTTTTATATTCAAAACCTTCACACAAATGTTGCTTGCGAAATAAAAATGATGTATCATATGTGTTTTCAATTGGAGAGTATTCCAATTATAATTATAATAATAAAAGATTAAAGAGTTTTATTCAAATTCTTCAACCACCTAATACACATTTATTAGACCAAAAAAAAAAACACATAATGCACGTTTCTAGAGTAAATAAGATTTATAACGATATCACTTCCTGATTTTCATAGTTGATATGATGTTTCTTCTATTCAAATTCACGATGTTTAGTTTTCTATTGAATTATTAATTCAATGCATACCCTTAATCCTAAAACAACGTCATTGTGGATGCAAGAACATTATAAACACACAAGAATCAGCATCGCACTAATGGCACTCCTTTTAATTTTCAAAGAAAATATGATAGTTAAATACAATAGTATAATAATGATGTAGACTTTATCTTCTTTTGTACATCACCAGTTATGCAAGATGATCATTAAAAAAATGGAAGATACCATTTCCTTTTTCTGCTTACATACGCAAGGTAGCATATGCAAAAGCAACATGCAATTTAGCATACATTCTTGTTTGTCCATTTTGATTTGCCATTAAAGTCAACCAAACCCAAAGGATCGTATAGCCCAATAATAGTAGTGTTTTTACTTTTATTTATTATTTTTATACAAGCGATAATAAGAGGGGGATTCGAATACGAACTTGAGTAGAGAGCGGAAAACGCATCCACTCTGTTCAACTTGGCTAAGTCCATGTTTGTAGTAGTGTTTTTACTTTATTCACCTGGAGTTTGGGTTTTTTTTACTCTCCTTTCAGGTAAAAGCGAAATTAAAAGATGAAAAAATAAAATAAAAAACCCGAAAAGGAAGCAAAATTTAAAAGAGAATTTGAAGTGAAACAGAGCAAAAACCTTATCTGGAATGGAATTAGCGCTTTTTCTTCGGTTTAAAGAAACAGAGCTTTAAATAGCAAATACCCGCTGAATTGAGCCAAATACATCATTTTTAGTAGACCCACAGACGGACCATCACATCCCTCTCTCTTTCTCTCTCTCTCTCCGAAGAGAATCTAGGGTTTGTTTTGAACAGTGAATCTTTTGCATCAGCTGGTGGTGGTAAGGGAATCTATAACGTTTTACTCAAACTTTGCTGTGACAAAAAAAGGTCCACCTAGGGTTCCCAAAACTCAAACTGTCTTTGTTTCTTTATCTCTCTGTGTTGCTCCTGTCGTTTCCAATACTTTGGTACTCTGTTCTGACCGTTTTGCTGTATTTGAATGCTTGAATTCTACTGGGTTTCTTTCCCTTTCCATTTCTATGTGTTTGACTGGTTGCTGCTGATAAAGTTTGTGCTTTTCATGGTTTTGGCTGTGTAGTATGCTGGGGCTTGCTGTTATTGAAGATAATATTTGTGTCTGCCTCTGATTATCCATGTTTTTTATTGGCTTTTTTCTTGCATTTCGATTGGTTGGAT